ATGCTGCCCTAATTCTTGAAGTTGCCAAGGGAAGGTCCTTCCAATACCATAAAAAAAGTCTAAGCATGCAAGTAAAGGTTCAAGTCCTCCCTCCCCCATTCCTTTTGATTTCCACAACATCCATAAAATCAGTGCCCCCTTGAATAGGACCAAATCCAACTGGAAGACTCATTTATATGGGAAATACATGCTTCTGTTCTTTCTGTAGAATTCTTTTTGAATTCCACCTACCACGTGTAGTAGTCATTGGATAAATTGGACCATAACTCTCAGACCTTTTTTTGGCAGGCCTGTGGCCTTGTTGGTTTGGAATTGTGAGAGTTGCAAAAATCCAAAAAGGTACCTGATTTCTGGGATAAGTAGATGTTGTTTCAAATCTGTTGGGAATAAAATACAAATGCTCTAAAGTTGGCAAAACTGTCTTTTCACACTTGATTGCTTCCATAGTTCTTCATTATTGATGGTTTTGCTGACTACCGTTGGCATTCCTGAATTTCTGGAAAACTGGGGGGAGGCAGGGAAGACGGTCTGTTGTAAAACTAAGTATCATAACTTTTCTTCATGGTACAGCTCTTGATTCTGGGGCAGGTGCTTGTATCAAGATGCTCCCAATGCACTCCCTCATCAAAGGATGAATCTCAGAGGTGGGGAACTGCATGAAGTATTCTCAGATGTAATTGCTTGAGAAGACTTCCTTGCTGTTTGAATTTCCCTGTTAGAAGATTTCTCAGCAGAGTCAGTACTGCCAGCTGGAGTTGCTGGGCATCTGCTCAGGGCCCATTACTGAAATCCTCTGACCCTGCTGCTGCTTCATCCATTGCTCGTCCACTCAGCCTCTCTCCCTTTTTTGAGCAGCTGAGTAAACTGGCAGTAGCAACAGCCTGGCAGGAGAGCAGCTGTCACCACCAGTGACGGTTCCCTGACTTGCCTTCTTCCTCTGGGCAGCAGTAAGGATTGTGCTCAGAGACAGCAAGCAAGTGGGCAACAGAAACAGAAGAGTATGTCTTCCTTTAAGAGGATCCAAACATGGAGCCCACCCTTTTGGCTGGTTTCCCCCTGAGTAGCAATAGAATGTTACTGTGTGGTTGTGCTCCTATCTAAGATCTATGATGTGTATCTATGATGCGTGTCTGTATGGGAGAAAAAAGATGGAGAAATGAGGTTGTATGTGGGGAGTGGGGGGGGGGGGGAAAGAGATAGAGAAATAAGGAGAGAATGAATATATCTATCTCTGTTTGGCTGATGTTCAACAAAAACAACTTTGCTACCATAGCTTTTATCCAAGATTACTAGAGCCAGACCCACCCTCCCATAATGTCTTCATACGCTCTTCTAAAGTTCTTTTGCAAGCATACTTTT